GGTGGCCCAAATCTGGAATTGCCTCGCGCCGGCCCCCGGCGAGAGTCTTTGGGGTACTATGGCATCGTGGTAACCAAAATCTAGAATTGCCTCGCGCCGGCCCCGGCACAAGCTTTAGGGCAGTATAGCACCGGGGTGGCCAAAATCTGGAATTGCTTCGCGCCGGCCCCGGCACAAGCTTTGGGGAAGCATAGCATCGGAGTGCCTAAAATCTGGAATGGCCTCTCGCAGGGCCCCGGCAGAGGTTTTGGGGCACTACTTATAGCATCGTGGTAACCAAAATTTAGAATTTCCTCTCGCCGGGCTGCGGCAGAGGCTTTGGGGCAGTATAGCATCGTGGTAACCAAAATCTAGAATTTCTTCTCGCCATGCCCCGGCACACGCCTTGGGGCAGTATAGGATCGGGGTGGCTAAAGTCTGGAATGGCCTGTCGCCGGGCCCCGGCAGAGGTTTTGGGGCACTATAGCATCGTGGTAACCAAAATCTGGAATTTTCTCTCGCCGGGCTGCGGCAGAGGCTTTGGGGCAGTATAGCATCGTGGCAACCAAAATCTAGAATTTCAAAACCATGCATGCCCGGAAACAAGCTTTGGGGCAGTATAGCATCGGGGTTGCTAAAATCTGGAATGGCCTCTCGCCGGGCCCCGGCAGAGGTTTTGGGGCACTACAGCATCGGGGTGGCCAAAATCTGCAATTGCCTCGCGCCGGGCCCCGGCAGAGGCTTTGGGGCAGTATAGCATCGGGTTGGCTAAAATCTGGAATTGTCTCTCGCCATACCCCGGCACAAGCTTTGGGGCAGTATAGCATCGTGGTAACCAAAATCTGGAATTGCCTTTCGCCGGGCCCCGGCAGAGGCTTCTGGGCAGTATAGCATCGTGGTGGCCAAAATCTGGAATTTTTCCTCTCGCCGGGCTGCGGCAGAGGCTTTGGGGCAGTATAGCATCGTGGTAGCCAAAATCTAGAATTTCTTCTCGCCATGCCCCGGCACAAGCCTTGGGGCAGTATAGGATCGGGGTGGCTAAAATCTGGAATGGCCTCTCGCCGGGCACTGGCAGAGGTTTTGGGGCACTATAGCATCGTGGTAACCAAAATCTGGAGTTGCCTCTCGCCGGGCTGCGGCAGAGGCTTTGGGGCAGTATAGCATCGTGGCAACCAAAATCTAGAATTTCAAAACCATGCCCCGAAACAAGCTTTGGGGCAGTATAGCATCGGGGTTGCTGAAATCTGGAATGGCCTCTCGCCGGGCCCCAGCAGAGGTTTTGGGGCACTATAGCATCGTGGTAACCAAAATCTAGAATTTCCTCTCGCCGGGCTGCGGCAGAGGCTTTGGGACAGTATAGCAGCGTGGTAACCAAAATCTAGAATTTCTTCTCGCCATGCCCCGGCACAAGCTTTGGGGCAGTATAGCATCGGGGTGGCCAAAATCTGGAATTGCCGCGCGCCGGGCACTGGGAAAGGCTTCGGGGCACTATAGCATCGGGGTGGCCAAAATCTGCAATTCCCTCGCGCCGCGCCACGGCAGAGGCTTTGGGGCAGTATAGCATCGGGTTGGCCAAAATTTGGATTTGGCTCTCGACGGGCCCCGGCGCAGACTTTGGGGCAGCATAGCATCGGGGTGGCCAAAATCTGGAATTGCCTCTCGCCCGGCCCCGGCAGAGGCTTTGGGGGGAGTGTAGCATTGGGGTGGCCAAAATCTGGAATTGCTTTTTGCCGATGCCGAATGAGGCCTTGCATTAAAAAAAGGAGGTTGGAGTTTCACCTGTATGTCGCAACTTTGGCGCTTGTGCAAGAATAATATTAATATGGAGTTTGTATGTATTTACAACTCATCATCATCTTCATCTACGATCCAGGAAGTTCACATTTCAACAGCGGCTTCGGTTTTTTTTCAAGCGACTAGAATTAAATCGCGATAAGAACTAGAACGTAGCGAAATCTTCGGCAAGACTTCTACAATGAACGTATGGTAGCGAATACCATGATACACGTCCAAGTTCATTGAAGAAGAAGGAGATAGTGAGAGGCAAGAACGTTCCGCGGGGACCAATATTACCAAACTTTCTTCGCAAAGATAAACCTGCAACTATTCACGTGATACCAGCTCCCGACGTGTTCCTTCGGTCCGTCGTTGTTTCGGGCAGCATGTGATCGGCGTCGCATTCGTTTTTGCCAAATGTGAGTCGCCCAAAATTTGCATTCCCAACTGAGTAGTCACTTTTTTGAAGTATTTTTTTCTTCTCAGCATACTGCAGAAACCGATTTTCTGTTCCATGTGTTTTTTTTGCAATTGTCGATTGGCATCGGGTATTCCTGTCGTACTTTTTGAGTTGCTTCTGCCCTCCGAGTACATGTATTTTTTTTGATTTTTCTTATGTTGAAAAGTCATTTATCATACGTGAGAAAGTAACAAGCTGCACGACACGTAGTGATTCTCATTTGGTTGTGAGTGTACAATGTGAATAGATTCCAATTTGCATGCCAACCGAAGTCGATTTCAGGTCGCGGGAAGTAATTTCAGCCTGATTGCTTTTTTTATCGTTTCCAGGAGCATGACTCACCTCGTCTGCAAAGTAGCTTTCAGTTCTCTCCACTTCTTTTCCCTAACCATTACCGCAAGTGTTTTCGTAGTCGCGCCTCTACTGACAGCATAACTCAGCAACTCGTAGCCGCGCTCTAGCCCTCTTTTCGTGTAAAGTGGTCTTGTCATAGTCCTGCTGTGTTCCTGTAGTCTACACGATGCGCACATAGTCATGCAATGGTTGGATATTGATACTGTTACTGAGCAATACGTACACAGTTTAGTTGCACCCACAGTTGAACTGGGATAATCATTAAGAATCAAATTGTTTGAAACGAAAAAATCGCACACGTCTCACGTTCTGTTCTACTTAGAAGCCCGAACAGTGTACAAAGACAAACAAAACGAAAACCTCGAGTCGAAATTGCGAAAACGTAGCTTATCGCGGGATCTGTCCTCGACCAGGCAGCACTTTGAAACTGCGTTGAAACCGCCGTCGAAGTTCGCTAGTAACAAAAAAAACCTTTTTGACTTGCGTGCAAAGATGAATCGCCGCTCACCCCCTGCATTCGCAGGGGCGCCTCAAGTAAAGGTGCCGCAGTTAGGAGATGTCGTGATCGGAAATGATAGCGGGGATCGCAAAATTCCGGTCGTGGCGCCCAAGGCCAATCCGCTTGGGTTTGGGGCTGCTGCGCCACGCTTCTGCGGTATTGAATCAGACTTATTGCGTTTTTTTTACTTGACGAGTTGGACCTGGAGTGAGCCCACCCCAACTACCAGAGACTTGCAAAATTCGTTTTTGTAGTACCATGAGCACGAAGTCGAAGAGGACGAAGGGATGCGAAAAAAGAAATGAAAAATACAACCATGATACAGATTTCAATCCACGGCCGCGAACCGACACAAAGCATCCATCCTACATGCGACCCGCGATTCCCCTTATGCAGAGAAAATGTTGTGGTTGAGAATTTGAATTAACAGAACCGGCATGTGTAAATAAAGACTCGAAGCACAACTCATGAGCCAATTTTTTGCGATCGTGGAGCTGGGTGTAAGCAGATGCAGAATACGTGGCTAGCTTGTTTAAATTATACCGCACATGGCATAAGCCGTTTTTGTACCAGTTCCGGTGCTTAGGTACTTGTCTTGCCGACAGTATATGGAATGGTGGAGGAGTAAGTGTGGATTTGCGACAAGAATCTTGTGCTGCGCTCAACAATGATTTTCATTGCATAAGAGGTGCGGTTGTGGTTAACGGCGCGTGTGTTCTACCAAGCAGATTGGCTTCCCCTAGCGAGAACGTGGAGGAATTACCGGCGAAAAACGGTGACAAACCGCCACTGTCTGTACCATCACGCGAATTGCTCCGCTTCTACAATACGAACCAGCACCCAGCTCGGATCCCCATGAATCCGCATAGCATGATGAAGATGAATAAGCGGGAGCGGATTCACACCCCATTGTTTTCGCCGGACGCGGATTCCGCGTCCGCATCGGCGTCGGTTTCTCCAGGTATTGCTCCTGCGCCCAAACAACTACGACACATCTCCGGCAATCCACACAGCGAAAACGACCAGCTGGTCGCAAACAGTCACTTGAAAAACAACCTCGAAGCACAGTTTGGAGAGCAGGTCGACAACAAGGCCTCGAAATTTCTTTCAAGAAACGAGGTAAATTTTTCTTTTGGTTAGGCGTCGTCGCCTTCAACTTTCTCGTCGCCTTCATCTTTCTCATTGCAAGAGCCGGACAAATACGATTATGCTACAATTGTTGTTGTCAGGACGACGATGTCGCTCACCAGAAAACAAAACATACACTCACAACAGCGTCGAATTCGGAAGATCTTTGGATCTTCGGTTTTCCTGTTCGGGGGCACATTCTGCAAAGTCACGAAACTGCGATTTCCACCCCAGGACGAGCAGGTGACAAGTCCGGATAGCCGTCTCGACGCCTGCAAGCGTCACTTTCGGGAGGCGCAAATTCTCCACGCAATGAAGGCTGCATCTACAACGACATTTACCATTGACGACTACCTGGTCACCGCGTACGGGCCGTTCGCCAGCACGCCCGAAGTTGCTGCCCAATCTCCAACACCCTGCATCTGCGTTGCGACGCCAGGCACCGTCTTCCGGGCGTGTGCGGCTAGGACCCCGAAGGCGTTCAAAGATTTTCTGAAATCTGCAGAGGGGGCGGATCGGAATTTGATGTACCTTGATGTTTCCACTTTTAGATCTACGTACAGTTATGGAATAGGCGTTGCTGCTTCGATTTGTGAGCATAAAACAAAGACTTCCAGCAATGCGATGATGAAGGAGAATGACGTTGCACATGAAATCAAGAAAACAAATAAAACAACAGCGCAAAAACGGGGTCGGTCCATTGGAGCGGTATGCGAGTAATCGTCTATTAAGTAGATAAAGACTCTCAGGTTTCTCCCTTGCCAATAAAATTCGGAAAATTTTGGCTATACACGAATAAACACTATAATTGATCACGGCTTGAGATCGAGTTGGTGACAGTACTGGTATGCAGTTCAATGTGTGCATTTTATGAAAACGAAACTTTTTATATGAGGTTGAGGATAGGCATAGGAAATGGAAATAGGAATTGTAAATAAAAAAGACTAACAAGACGACGAAGCACACGGTGGCCAAGACCACGAGTGACCTGAGTCGATCATGTAGAATGTTTTTTCCTTCGCATAAAGATGGACAACGGCCTCGTTACCGACGCGCGAACCGGAAAGGTCTTCATGATCTCCGCGCCCAAGACCGTTCCGGTGGGATCTTTTAGCAACGAGCGGTACGGGACGCAGTGCTGTTCCCCCACTTCGCGACTCACACGAACTACCGAGGTCGAAAAACTCCCAGTCACCGCGACGGTAGATTTGCCCGGAATTGCGTTCTACGCGATCTTCAACCTCATCGGGTCCAACAAAAAAGATGTTTCGATCAACGCGTATTTTGAGAAACGAGCTTCGGGAAATCTCCGCTTTGGTGAGGAACAGCAACTTAGCCACTCAAAAAACATCCTCCGCGGTTTGATCGAGGCTCTGAAGAAGGAGTCGAACAGGATTAAACAAGGAGGTAGAATCGATTTCAGGAAAAAAGTAACAATCCGACCGCTCACGAAAACCGATGCGACATCTCGTAAGGGGAATCTGCACGACTGGTGCATGTCCATCGCGGAAACAATCAGCAAAATGATCATCTTCAATAGCCGGAACAACTCGAAGATTGGTGACCGTGATGCTATGCGAATGAGGGATCAAATCCGGGCCGATGAAATCACCACCGCGGAGTGCTTAGATTATCTCTCCCTGCTGCTCTCCGAGGGGCACTTAATCGACCCCCTCACCCGGAAGGAACTGGTTTTGACGCCGAAGTTCGAAGTCGGATCCCTGCCGAGCCTCGCACAAGAAGATGACAACGGCAACGACTCCTCTGTTACGTTCGGCAAGTACGTTGAGTACACGGTGAACGAAATGATTGCGTGCAGATTCGGAGAGAAGGTTGGTCAGGAGAAGTAACAGCTCCTGGTGAGCATCAACAAGCAGTTGTAGTATTGTTTATGATGCCCAACAAACTCCAATATGACACACGACTTTGATTTATACTTTATATGTGCGTGAGGCAGAACGAAAGCCGAAGCCGAACGAGAAACGGTCTGGGAGCCTGCTATAGTGCGTGCCTTGCGCGCGCCATGGCAGATTCTCAACTGCAAACGATATTTCGCTAAAGCACTAAACCATTTCAATTTTTGAAAATACATTTTATGTTTATATAAACTCGTCTGTTTCAATTCGAGTTAATCTTAATTTTCATGTGGTCTGCAAAGAAGAAGATAAAAAAACTTCACACGCACTAGTGCGAAACCCGCACAACCCTAGATAATCGGACGTGCAAACCACTAGTACCCCTTCGAATGAAATCGAACATTCCTCCATTTTCGAGCACTCTAGTAATGAATGACTGGCACAGAAAATCTTCTTCATGCAAAAAAGGTTAAGAGGCAGAGGCTGCAATATAGGCTCCAAGATAATGTCATAATTTCCGCAACAGAATTGCAATTTCTGGGGGTGCATAAAATCCAATCAGTCGCGTTTTGAGAATATAGTTTGTGTATGATAAATGATTGTTGCATAGACATAGAGAGGCATATGCTATAATACCGGGGTTGGTTGAAATAGATTGTCATAGAGGTATAAATCCATTATTTGGGAAAAAGAAAAGAATGAAACAATAGCAACATAAGATGGACCAAATTTGTTCGATTCAAATAGAAAGGCAGCATGGGATACACACAGAAAGCAAAATGTCATTCCTATCAAATTTTACCTCAGCTTTCGGAAGCAAAGCCATATTCACAGGAGATATCCACACTTTGGAAAAAAATACAGCCAAGATATTGGTCTACTTCTCTATCGCCGGGTGATCAAATAATACCAATGATGACGACGGTAATTTGATGGTGCATGCCCGATCGTGTTCCTCTGAACAGGTTCATTGAATAACATAAAAGATGTATTTGTTCTAGTCTTTGTCGTCAATCCGAATCGTATTCGTATCGTGCATATGTCCTGTTTCTGTTTGGGTGCGATATAGTTATTGCTTGAGGCGGTAACCCTGTGTCCGGTTTGTTTTCGGAGTCGGTTGTTTGTCTCGGTGAACAGGATGCGTTCGAAGTCTGCTCAAGTCAATTTAATGCCCTGCTCACGCGGTCTCGGTCAACAACAAGCTCAATAGGTACGATGGTCTCTGCTCCGAAAAAGAGTGAATCTATTCAAGGTTTCTGGTGTCGTTCCACTGTTTATGAATAACAATGGAGAAGGAAACAGCTCTCGTCACGTTCTTCATTGTATCAGTGGCTCTTATCTTCATATCGTCCAGTGAACCTGCTCGCAACCCGGTTTTCTTTGTTTCGAGGGTATTTATAGCGTTCCAGAGTCGAAGACTTAGCTGCATGGTGTAGCATGACACTCAGTCACGTTTGTTTTTTTTGTGCAGTGTTGTAGTTGTTTGTAAGTATGTATCCTGAGTAAGCCGTCTGAGAATGAGGATGAGGATCAACTGCCATGTTGCGCTCAGCGTGACAAGCAGTGCGACCACAACATACTCATCTCTAGACAACTAAGCAGAGGAATAAGATGTGTCAGCTGGCATTTGTTATTGTTGCGGCGCGGCGTGACGAATTGGGACTCTGGCCGATGCGGATATTCGGATGGCACCATGCCGCTGGAACTGGCATAGGCATTTGTGGACACAGCGGCAATAATTTCGGGACTCCAGCAACTGGGCACACAGAAACATTGTGTTGTCATTTTTTGCTGCTTTAGGCAGCCTATCGCCATGAGCGATGCTGTGATACATTGGAAACGATAACAAGATGAAGCTGCATGCCAGCCGCTGCCTCCTGTCACAGTGGGGGACAAGTGAGTGCATTCTAGCCGCTCGGCTTGACCAGCACTACTGGCTCTGCGTCACACCGCCGGCAGCCGCCGGAGCACGCAAAAAAAGAGACACAGTTCAGGAAAAGGCGGTGCCAAGCGGGTACTGGTTTCGCGAACCGGAAGGGGCCGCAACATGCGTCACTCGTTAGCTACCTTCGGTTAGCACGAGGTGGAGGCAAGCGGCCGAACAAGGAACAAAATGACTGCGGAGGGAGCATGCAGAAAAGTAACGGTAACGACCTGGTAGTAGCACCAGGAGGTGGACTAAAGCGGCTGCCCCGTTCGCAAGTCGGCCACTGCCCGAACATGCGGAAACGGGCCCACCGGGTAGCACTAGCTGCAGGAGCAGAGGAGAGCGACCGTCCTAGTCGCAGATTATCAGCGGTGGCTCGAACATGCAGAAACGGGGCCACCTGGTGGCTGGGCGTCCGTGGGGTTCTGCTCGCAAATCGGTGGTGGCCCCGACATGTAAGTAGAAACGTGACCACTGGGTGGCAGGACGTAGGGGAGGACGGCCTTACTGGTCACAAATCGACGTCGACCCGAACATGCAGAAACGGGACCGCCCGGGTGGCAGGGCGTGGGGTTCTGCTCGCAAATCGGTGGTCGCCCGAACATGCAGAAACGGGACACATGCAGAAACGGGGCCACCGGGTGGCAGGACGTAGGGGAGGCAGCTTTTCTGGTCGCTAATCGGCGTCGACCGGAACATTCAGAAACGGGACCACCCGGGCGGCGGGGCGTCGGGTTCTGATCGCAAATTGGCGTCGACCCGAACACGCAGAAACGGGACCACCCGGGTGGCAGGGCGCCGCGTTTTGCTCGCAAATTGGCGTCGAGCCGAACATGCAGAAACGGGACCACCCGGGTGGCAGGGCGCCGGGTTCTGCTCGCAAATCGGCGCCGAGCCGAACATGCAGAAACGGGACCACCCGGGCGGCAGGGCGCCGGGTTCTGCTCGCAAATCGGCG